ACTAGTATATGTATAAGGCAACAAATTATCCTGTACCATCTGATCAAAAAGGACCAATGCCTCCCATAATTTTCCAGATTTGCATGCCTCAGAAATTACTGTGTTGTAGGCAATAGTATCTACAGCAGAAGGAATGTAGTGAAGCCTATTCAAAAATTGTTTTGCCTCCTGCAAATTACCTCCTTTGCACAGTTCTTTAAGTAAACTACCATATGTGAAATGACTTGGGTGATGACCTAGTTTAATCATTTTGTCAAACACAGAAAATGCTTTTAACCCATTTGATCAGTTTGCAATAGGGTCTAGTCAACTCGTAATGGGTTATACCTACCCAATTATAAACTAATTAATTACGAGCTACTATGTTGGGATTGTGAAATAAAGTTTGTAAAATTTAGTTGTGAATCAATCTTTATTAATAACGATTATGGCATCAGAATGTTATATAATGGTAACGACACCATAACGTTAACGCACGATAACAAGAGCAGAACGTTTAATAAATTGCAACGGGCAGAAAAACGTCAATTAATGATAACGTCATAGAGCATTGACTAATAGTAATGACTTTGTAATATCAATTAATGACGATGGCAAATGAATGCTAAGTAACGATCATGCTAGTTAAGAGGAACTTAACAGTTGCAGTGAATTAACAGGAATCACTAAATTGTAACAGTGAGTTAACGAAATTTCTGATTTAGGACCCTTGAGTTGATGTTTTCTAATTTAGAAATCACAGCATTTCCGCAACTAAACCTCAAAAGCTATTAGAAGCTTTTGTTATGCCTCAAAAGTCACGCTTATGTCAGCCTAATAAATGTGCTGCCAAGCCCATATCTCCTTAAAGATATTCACACCAACTTTATCTAATTTCAAAAAGATAAAGTTGGACGAGAGCCTTCCATGTGTCAAGGCAACTTGCAAAACACTCGTTACATTGAGTGTTTAGGTATATAAATGGGCATTCCTCTTCTCGAAGAAGGGGGTGCTGAGATTTGAGCTTCATTTTCATTCTCTCTCTGTAAACACTGTATTTCTTCATCTTTGTATGCCTTACGGGCAAAATCATAGAAATAGTCAGAGATCAATAAAATAACAGTGGATGTAGGAGTCGCTTGTTGAGCATCCGAACCACTATAAAAACCCCTTCTTGCCAATCTTTTATTTATGTTTTCTGCGACATATATAATCTTAGCTCCATATTCAAATCTCATGGATCCATTCACGTGTGTCTCCTGAGTCAGCTCAGCGTTTCCCACATGCGAGTCGTTGGCATCCAAAATCAAGCATCAACAGTTTGGTGGCCCATGCAGGTTCGATTCTCAAGCCTGCGTCCAAGTTCCCTGATGGCATGCTCAGATCTCAAACCTACGTCAGAATTCTCCAATCATGTGGCCAAATCACAGATCGCACACGTTAGAATTCTCCAATCGCGTGGCCAGATCGCACGCGTCAGAGTTCTCCGATCGTGTGGCCAGATCGTAGATCGCACACGTTAGAATTCTTCGATCGCGTAGCCAGATCGCAGATCGCACGCATCAGAATTCTCCAACCGCATGGCCAGATCGCAGATCGCAGATCACGCGCCCATGCCGTCCTAATCCTCGGCTTTAGATAGCTGATCTTTAGCTTCAAATTGCATGTTAAGATCGCTGATCACACGCTGAGATCGCTGATCTCTTGTGCTCTTAGGTAGAGCTCGTTATGATCTCTCAGGTCGAGCTCCTACCAGATTTCAGGTTGAGCTCCTACCAGATCTCAGGTTGTTTTCTAACAGATTTTAGGTCGAGCTCCTACCAGATTTCAGGTCGTTTTCCTAACAGATTTTAGGTCGAGCTCCTACTAGATTTCAGGTCGTTTTCCTAATAGATTTCAGGATGAGCTCCTACCAGATTTCAAGTCTAGCTCCTACCAGATTTCAGGGAGGTCCTACCAGATTTCAGGTCGTTTTTATAACAGATTTCAGGTCGAGCTCCTATAAGATTTCTAGTCATTTTCCTAACAGATTTCAGGTCGAGCTCCTACCAGATTTCTAGTCATTTTCCTACCAGATTTCAGGTCGAGCTCCTACCAGATTTCAGGTCGAGCTCCTAACAGGTTTCAGGTCGAGCTCCTACCAGATTTCATATTTCAGTTTGAGCTCTTCAGTTCGAGACTGCAGCCATTTAGATCAAAGACTTTAGTTTCTGAAGCGCGATTACGCACTTCAAAAACTAGGGGGCTTCTGTTATGCCTCAAAAGTCACGCTTATCTCAGCCTAATAAATGTGCTGCCAAGCCCATATCTCCTCAAAGATATTCACACCAACTTTATCTAATTTCAAAATGATAAAGTTGGACGAGAGCCTTCCATGTGTCAAGGCAACTTGAAAAATACTCATTACATTGAGTGTTTAGGTGTATAAATGGGCACTCCTTTTCCTGAAGAAGGGGGGGCTGAGATTTGAGCTTCATTTTCATTCTCTCTCTGTAAATACTGTATTTCTTCATCTTTGTATGCCTTACGGGCAAAATTATAGAAATAGTCAGAGATCAATAAAATAACAGTGGATGTAGGAGTCGCTTGTTGAGCATCCGAACCACTATAAAAACCCTTCTTGCCAATCTTTTATTTATGTTTTCTGTGATATATATAATCTCAGCTCCATATTCAAATCTCATGGATCCATTCATGTGTGTCTCCTGAGTCAGCTCAGCGTTTCCCACATGCGAGTCGTTGGCGTCCAAAATCAAGCGTCAATAGCTTTAATTTCTGAAAATTATATAACAGTTTTTATTAGAAATTGTATTCGTCTTATATCACCACGTTCTTGGATTGTTATGAAGGATATACGTGATTGAAAGCTAACTTTTTCGAGTGAGTTTTATCCAAGTCCATTTATCAGTTTCAAACATAAAATACTGTAGTAACAAAAAAATAATAATTAGAAAAACTGTTCAGGAGGCCAATAGAAGAAAGAGTGATTGTGACACTTGGCAGAAGAATCCAAGCACAATCTTCATCTCAATCTTCATCTAAAATTCAACAATTGACCTGATGACTTCTTTCATTGCAAATATGTTCTCAAGTCAGATTCCGAAACTATTGCATAAATTCATTGTTCAAGTTTTGTCTTTTTAGCATCTATTAGTGTTGGTTTAATGTCATTGAAGCTCCACCAAGAACAGTGTTTTACTGTCTTCCATGATCCGAATGAGTCCCTCTGTTTCATTAGAAGAAGAGCTGCCTGCCTATAAAAATAAAAACCAGATGGATTTCCAGAAAACTTTTACAATGGGTCTATGTCTAAAGAGTTTAGGCTAACCTCTGCAGTAATAGCTTACAATAACTTCTTTGATCTATAACATGAACTGATATGGTTTCGGTGATGGAATTAATTGAAAGACCTGAAAATAGCATAACGGTGTGTTGAAAAAATATTGGATTCAAGTCTCTTTTTCCGTTCATTCATTCTTTCTCATCTGGATTATAGATGAACTTCTTTCCTATACTAACGAAAGAGAGGTGTGCTATCTTGAACCAAAGTAACATAGTCTTAAAACAAGAAGAAATATCAACAGCTCGTTTTCAGCTAAGTAACAACAAACCATGGCCAGGGCCATAGCAAATCATAACCTTAGAAAGGCTTTAAGAGAATCTTCAGCAACAAAAATTCAGACATTTGAACCAGTAACCCCAAAAACTGCAAATCTTCATCTTTGCAAAGCTGAACAGGATTCTAGCATTTGAACACCAACACCAAATTGCAGAAAGCAGCAGCTAATGAATCCAATAATAGAAACTTAAACAAAACAAAACTCTCATTACAAATAATTTCTGAAATATTTATTTATTATTTTTATCTTTTTTTTTAGATATTTATTTATTATTTTTATCTTTTTTTTTAGGGAACCTCGACGGTACGAGGAAATTTTATTAATTAAATATAAAAGATACATTTAGACAAGGGGGACATAATGAACCTTACCCTTCTTGAAAAATCCTATTACAATAGGTAAATAAAAAAAATGCAAATGCATGCAATTACATAAAAATAAAAAAATGAAAAGAAAAGAAAATATAATCCGAAGCTCTACCGAGAAGAGTGTATTGTTGCCGTCCACATCCGAAGCAGCTCCATTTGTCTCATTAGAAGAAGATCTACCTATCCACAAAACACAAACCAAATGGATGTTAATGAATCCTTGATAAAATTGCTCCATGTCTAAAGACATTAGACTACTGATATCAAGCCTAGTCTTGGTCCACTCATCAAGAGCACGAACTGATAATCTGAAAGCAAACCCAAATATTGCAACATCTATGCTTAATTCATCATAATGCAACAAGCATTAAGTCTCAAATTCTGACTGGAATTTGTTTTCCAATGCTGGATTAAATGATACGGGTAATTTAACATTCCATGGCCATGAAAGATTGAGCTCCACGAATTATTACAAGAAAGGCTACTTGTCAACTGAGCACAAGTCAACTGGATTTCAATATTTTAAGAAAAGTGCGAAGAAAGGCATAAGAAGAAACAGGACTATAAGAAATTTTTTTTTACCTTAGCCATCGCAGCTTCTTTTAAGATCACTCACTAATAACCTGAGTTAGTTGCAAGATCAGCGAAAAGTTACTTCATGTCACTTTAAATAACGTTTTATGTGCAATGTGGTGAGCTCTGTTATTAGCCTCTGTTTTCATAGAGCTGAAAAATGGTAAAACCTGTAAAACTGCAACATACTTCAACATTTTTTAACTAATTACCTCAATTCGAAACTTTGTACAACATAATTGCCACCCTTGTCATACTGCATCCCAGAGTTGAGACTGTTTGGTTGGTCCCTGCAAGAACAACATAATTATTAATGAACACTCTGTTTTATGAAAATCTAATCGTTTTGATAAAAGATAATGTTGTGAGGTTCTAGAAATTGACTGACCTGAATGGCCCATAAGAATGAAGTGAGGTAATCGACAGATTCAGCCTTTTTCATTCTGAAACCAAATTGACTTCATTCTTCTTCTTCTGGATCGTAAATGAATTTGTTATCTATCACAACAAGAGGGATGTGGGTTATCTTGGGCCACTCTTGTCCTTTATCCCTTTTGCAACGTTGTTTCAGCAAAGGACATTGAGAAACACTTAGTTGCAGAAGTGAGGATGGAAGGTTTGGTAAGAATGTAAGATTTAGGCAACGAACAACACGTAGTCGCAAAAGTGAAGATGGAAAATCTAGCAAAGATGTGAGATTTGGGCAATCCTTAATCTGCAAATATTCAAGAGAGGTGAGATCTTGGAAACCCTTGGGAGATAGGTATTTTAATTTTGGGAATCCTATAATATCCATTTGAATGAGAGAGGATGGCAGCTTTATTCCCATCTCCTCCTCAGGGAAAGACACTGCATTTTGGCATCCACTAATTGTGAGTCTTCTAAGAGAAGTGAGTTTGTGGAAGCCCCACCCAGCCAGTGAGTTGTAGATTTTGGGTTCATCAACGGAAAGTGACGTTATATTGGTGGGAATATCTTCTTCTGGAAACAATGCCATGCTTGGACATCCCCCTATGGCTACGTGTTCAACAGATTTGACGGTGTGCATGCGGCTTGGTAGGCCTTGTATCTTCTCACATCCACGGATACTAACTTCTAAATTATTGTTAGAAAGCACAATTTCCCGGCCCAAAACAAGACTGGAACATGCCCAAATATAAATTTTATTAAGCTTGGGAAGAGTATATTGGCCCTCCAGAGTTGATCCAGGAGACTTGTAATTGTCAAAACTCTCTACTATTGACTCTGCCTTAGGTGACTGTCCTCCAGATAGTAACGTCCTGAGATTTGGACAATACCAAATTATAAGCCCTGTGAGTGTTGGAGCTAACTGGTATGTCGATGATAAGTGCGTAAGAGAAGGGCAGTGATATATTTCCAATTTGCAGAGAAGAGATGTGGTGGTATTGTCCAATGCATAAGAAGAAGGTGGAGAAGAAGTACCAGTATCCGCCCAAATGCACACCATTTTTTCACATTCGGCTATCGAAAGGGTTTTTAGAGATGAAGGTAGTTGGCCTCTCACAATGAATGATAGAGAATTGCAACGATAGACGCCCAAGTGCTCAACACGAGCATTGTTGTGCTTCAACCCCCCGTGTAATGATGTAATAGCATGACATCTACTAATTTCAACTTTTGTCGGAATGGAAAGCAAACCATCTGGAAACGAAACAAGATTCGGAAGCTCTCTCATGCATAGCTCTTTAAGAGAGGTGAAGCTCTGGGAACCTTGTAGTGGCTTCTCAAGAAAAATCTCATTTCCCCACAAATGAGTGAGCTCTTCCCAGCCAACAATTGACAGAGTTTCTAATTTATGAAATCCCTCCCTGGTCCAACTTCTAAACCCTGGAACATTTGATTCTTCACTATTTATTTCCAACGAGCGGAGCACTGGAAGGATTGAGAGAGAAATCCCTAATTCCTCGCATTTATCAATCACAACAGTCTCCAATGAAGGAAGAGGGTTCAATGTTTGGGAGTCAATTGGACTATTGCATACCACGCCTTTGCATCTTTCTATTTCTAAACGGCAGAGCATTGGAAGGCTTGTGAACGAAACCACCAATTGCTGACAATCTCTAACCCCAAGTTTCTCTAATGAAAGAAGATGGGTAGGTAATCTTCCAGAGAGTTTAGGACATTGTGATATGGAAAGCTGTTTGAGACGAGAGAAACTTTCAGCATGCTCCTTTTCTTCAAAAGGATCCCAATGCTCCCATTCTGGCAGATTCTCAAAACGAAGAGTCTCTAGTAATTGAAAAGATTCTGAGCAACTCTCCCCATAAACCTCACAGCCTATTTTTTCAAGCATTTTCATCCCCTTGATGGTGAGGTTTTTAAGTGAGCCTAGTAGCCCAATCGAAGGCAAGGTCTTACAATTTTCACAGCCATCCAATTTCAAAGAAACCATATTAGAGAATGATGGATCTCCTATCCAAGATGAAAATTTTTTGCCGCAAAAGTTATTGATTGTGAGCTCTTTAAGATCTGTATGGGGTTGTAAAATGTCAAGAACAATTTTCTCTACTTTTTCGTCTCGTGAGGCATTGGAAGAACTCCATTCTAACACTAACACTTCCAAATCCTTCTTATCACACAATATAATATCTCTTGTTTCATGACAATCAGTTGCATTCTCTAACCTGGAAATATAAAGTTTTCCACAAATAAACTTTAATTCTTTTAAATCTTTCAAACTAGATACAACACCTTCACCCACAACAAAATTAGATAAGGTTCGAATACATTTCAGTTTTTTCACTCCCAAAGGCATTTCTCTTATAAGTCTTGCACCTCTAATATCAAGATGGCGAAGATTGATCAAATCTCCTATTTGTAAAGGCAACTTTTTGAGATAAGAACAACGTCTTAACAACAAACTTTGTAAATTGAATAGTGAACTTGTTGACTCAGGTAGCTTTGTAATTTGAGTTTGAGAAAGATTAAGATACCTCAAATGTTTCAAATCTCCAATTGAGTCGGGTAGTTCAATCGCACAATAGTTTGTTAAAGATAGTGATCTCAATTTTTTAAACTTTGACAATAAATTGGGAAAGATTGACAAACTTACGTAACTCAGGTCATTTATTGACTCTGATGGCCCCAATACTTTTAGGAACGTCCGTAGCTGCTCAACTCCACAGAAGACTTCAAAGTTCTTCCCAACTTCATACTTTCCAAATGTGTAAGAAGAGTGTCGAATCCTTTCACATCTTTTTATTTGCATGGCACTCGATTCATTCTCAAATCTAAAACTTGTTTCTAGAGAAATCCATTGGGCCAAATCGTGGACAAGGTCGTGCATCACAAATTTCAAACCATCATTACTCAATTTTTGAAAAATTGACCTTGACAATAACTCACAAAAATACTTGCCTCCTAGATCTTCTAGTTGCTTCTTATGGTTTGATTGTTGAATAAATCCTTCTGCCATCCACAAAAGTACAAGTTCTTCCTTCTTGAATTCATAATCCTTAGGAAAAATTGCACAATAAGAAAAACATCTTTTAAGATGTGATGGAAGATGATAATAACTTAATTTTAAGACAGGGAGAATATTACTTTCCTCTGGCAAATCCCAAATTTCGCTATCCAATATATCCAACCATTCATCATATTTTTGCTTAGAGCGTAAAAGACCAGCTAGCGTTCTTGCTGCCAACGGCAAGCCTTTACACTTTTTAACAACCTTCTCCCGAATTAATTCCATATTCTTCCCTGCAGCAATAACTCTACTCCCATTTACATGCTTCTCAAATATGGCCCAGCAGACATCCTCTGGCAGAAGCTCCAAGTTATAGCATGCTTCTAGTTCCACTGTTGATGCAACATCTTTGCTGCGTGTAGTTACAATTATTTTACTTCCTGGTGCTCCAGCTAGGAATGGAGACTTTAGGGCTTCCCACAAGTCATAATCCTTACTCCAAACATCATCCAAGACTAGCAAGAATTTTTTCCCCGCTATCTTATTTTTCAGCTGAACTTGTACTTCGTTTAAGTTCGTTAGAGTACAAGTTGATGCAGTGATCGACTCAAAAATAGCCTTGGAGATACGCAGAACATCAAAATCATCCGAGACACACGTCCATGCTCTTGGATTGAAATCTGCCACTGCCTTGTCGTTGTATACCTCCCGAGCAAGTGTTGTTTTGCCAACTCCTCCTAGCCCAACAATGGGTATTACATGAAAGCTGCCACCACTCTGCTTATCGCTTAACACCATCTCAAGTATCTTGGCTTTATCGGCATCTCTTCCGATTATTGCTGGTTCAGTTGGGACACATGTACTAGGTGGTCCTTGCCATGCAACAGTAGATGAGCCTCCAGCAATCTCTTTCAGACCAAGATCATTCTTTTCTTCACAGAGATCTTCTAAACGTCGAGTTATCTCTTCTGTCTTGGACTTCATATCAGCCTGGGAAATCAGAGCACTTGGAGTCCAAGAAGAGAAATAATCAGCAATTCTGTTTGTCGATTGTTCCGTCATCAATTCCCGCTCTAGAACCTGAGTGGCATACTCATCCAGGATGTCCTCCACATCATAAGCCAAGTCTTGGAGATCATCCAACCACATTTTCACAGCCTCGTTCTTTAGTTGCTTCTCCTCGGCATCGTTGAGCACTGCCTTGATCATTGAAAACTTTCTCTTCCACTGCTTCAACTCTGAACGTATCCCATCTTCACATGGAAAGAGCAATAGCTTACTCGGCACCAATCTGTCAAACAACACCTGAAGAAAAGCACCAAGGAAGACGTCTCCCACTGGCATGGTTTTGACTACATAGGAAGAAATGATAAGAATGAATTAAAATTCTCATATAGAGAAGGATGATAATTAGATGAAGACAACAATCAAGAAAGAGAAGGATGATAATAAAAAAGACATTTGATAGTACTACAATTGTACGGAATTTTAACTTTCTCTGCCTTATCTTCTTCATTTTCTCTACAATTGAAGTAATTAACAGAACAATGATATTTATTATAAAAGCAACAGAGTTAATAAAACAAAATTCCAAATATAATTTGTTTCGAAAATTTTTAAGCTTCTAAGAAATTTAATTAAGAGATGATTTGAATTACAGTATATGGAAATATGTTTTAGATGAATTTATTTCATATCACATATAAATTATATAATATATTTTCTATGTTTATCTGTGAGAATAATTTGTCTCTAAAGCTCCATAGCGTTGCAAACTCGGTAAATAGTAATTTTTATTATCTAATTTTACTATAAAAATATTCATTTATTGATATTTTTTATTTATTTAAAAAAATAAAACATAGACTATATTAATAAAAAAATTTAAAAATTTAAAAAATTAATAATATCAATTAAAATAATTTAAGATACATGTCCAGTAGTGAAGATATAATCCTAAAAGGATTAAACAACCTATCTGGTTCATTTTAAAGGATCCTTGAACTATTTGAAAAGTGGTGGTCATATGAAGGTTGTTTTTCCTTACCTGTAATTAGTGATATGAGGGTCTTCTGGATTTCTTGACAGTTGATTCTACTAGCAAGCACTGTCTGCAAGATGAAGAGATGGAAACTGGTGTTTGAATTTGTGATAAGAAACTAAAAGAAGAAATGAGGAGAGTTTAGGAGAAGAAGAAAGAGACTCAGAAAATGAAAAGTTCGAGAGGTTTCTTCCTTCCCTCTCAACGCTTCACTATGATTAATTGAAGTGGAAAATGGACATCCAAGAGTCAAGTGCTCATAAAGGATAGGTCTTTGGTTTTAAAAGTCTTTGGCGTTGGCTCCACCATTTCAATAATTCATCTCCAAATTTAATGTATACACACCTAAAATATTTGGCTACATTCAAGCACCAACACCTCTCAGAAAGCTGCAGAAAGCAGAGTTCAGCAAGCCAACAGCAGAAACTTTCAAAATAACAATTGTAGTAGGCCAGCAAGCTTATTGTAAATAACGTTTTGAGTAAAACTTGTACCATTCCTTATTGTAAATAACTCCAGAAATTCATCCTTCACGCATATACCTTATTGTACTAAAATCAGCTGGAGCTCCACCAAGCTTAGTGTACCATTGCTTCCTACATCTAGATCGAGCTCCATGTCTTAACAAAACCTTAACATCTGCTCAATGTCCAAAGAGTTTATACCACAGTTTGAAATGGGAAGACATCAAAAAAAACAGGACATTAATTTTCTACCTTCACAATCGCAGCTTTCTTTTAGTCTAATCACCAATAACATGTGGTCATCATCTATAAAGTAACCCAAATTTGGCGATCATAGTATAAAAAAAGTTCAGTACTGTTACATTACTTATATCAAAAACTGCAAAACATCAGACTTTGAATCATTCCAAAAGTTAGAAGAATCAACGAGGCAAAGAAAAGGTTAACCACGAGTTGACGACACTTTACGGCACTTTGCACCTTTTTTTTTTTTTTCTGCAAATGACAATCAATCATATAACTACAGTAACTTACACAAGTAACACTACCAAACATGGGAATATGCCTAGCAATATAAACATGGGAGTACCCTGTTTGCCCTTTCATGTGAGAGGAACTGAAATGAATTTACAATGAAGAAAGAAAATGTGACTCACTCAAATTTTGTAACATAATGTCAGCAAGAAAGATAAACTGATGTTCTAATACCTTTAACTGCCCCAAGGCTGAGGAGACATTCACTATTCTTGCTGAATCAGACTGTAGAAGAAGTGGAATAAGTGCTTCTGTCACTTGCTTAGTTCCATAGTAGTTAGTTCTTAAGCACCCTTCAGCTGTCTCATAAGTTTGTTTCATAATTTGTTTCACCAAGTGAGCATTTTCACCTAAAATCTATATGAAAGGTGAGGATTGCTTTATCCATATAGCTATAATTTGCTTGTTAATCACTTGTACGATCATGTATAAAAACACAAATGCATTATTTACCTCACCACTCTTGAGATTTAAGCTAATAAAAGCTTCAGCGTCAAATATGGCTCCAGAGATTCCTGCATTATTTACCTGCCAAATTTACATCAATTTTAAGTTCAGTCATGTTCATAAAATACCCATATAAGAAATTCTACCAACTAGCTTACCAGTATATCAAGCCTTTGGAACTGAGTTCTGATAAAACTAGCAAAGGAATCAATACTGATCAGATCCATCAAATCAAGTTGGTGAAAAGCTACATCAGAGAATCCTGAATCATGGAGACTTTGAACAGCTTCATGGCCTCTCTTCTTATCTCTTGCTGTTAAAATCACCATGACCCCCTTGGAAGCTAGCTGCCTGCATATTTCTAATCCAATCCCTTTATTCGCTCCTGTAACAATCGCGATCCTGAAATTGAAAGCAAAATAAAGGAAAGAAAGTTTTAAGAGATTTTAGCTTAAAGCTTCAATTCTGGAGTAACATAACCTACATATCAGAAGATCAAAGAAAGAAGGACCTTTTTTGTGGGAGGAAGTGCAAATGTTGCTTCCATTTTAAGCAGATATGTTGATGTTAAGATTATTGTGAGGGATTATATTTATAGCTCTACCATGATGAGTTTTTGTTACGTATGGCGTGACACCATTGTCATGCCACCTATGTGGTGACATCATTTTGGTCTCCTGCCTCAGTGAATTTACAGTGGCTGCTGGGAGGCTATTACATGATATAATATTGGCAGTGATAGCACCACTCTCCATTTAAAATTATTCCTGGGTCAATAATTATTAGTTTACCAAATATAAAGAAATTGAAAAAGGCAGGCGGCTTCTGTCTGGTGGGGTCTTGTCCTATGATATTGTTCTTAATCCATGGAATGGAAGTAACTGGTCACTTTAGAATCTAACTGTTAACAGATCTCTGATGTGGCACCTAGTAGAGCTACAATCCTGAACCGTAGAAGGTAAACTGAAAAATATAAAATAGTTGTCAGAGTGATTCTCATGAGTAATAGTTTGTCTAGTTAAAATTTAGCCTATTCTTTGAGTGATTCTACCCCTCCTTGGTCGCATGGACAAACTTAAGAAACAGTCTTGTCCAGTCAAAATTTAGGCTATTCTTTGAGTTTCCAGTAATAAAGAATATTTTACTTGGCTTGAGTTTTATGCAATAATAAATTAAGTGTTTCTTTATTCAATACAGTAAACAATGGAATTACAGTAGTAAAAATTTTCCTTGAAGAAAGGCATAGCAGCAATACAACCCAGAAAATGGCCTAATTGATCAATTGAGTTGAAGTACAACAGGTAAAATTTGCAAATTACTTCAGTAAGTAAAACACTAAACACTCAAGTAACTTAGGTTTTAACAACAAGAAGTTTCAGCAGGTCATTATCTTTGAAAGGCTGCAACGAGATTCTAGCATTTGAACCCCAACACCAAACTGCTTAAAGCAGCAGCTTATGAAGCCAGTAAAAGAAGCTTTCAACTAAATAACTTTAGCCGGCTATTTGACTTCACTATGAATAAAGAAAAAGTAAAATGGAAAATGGACAGTGTACTCATAAAGCAGAGAATCCAAGAACTGTCTGCAACTTTGGTTTTAAAGTCTTGGCTCCACCGTTGCCATAATTCAACTTCATAGTGGTTGCTTTTTTAAAGTAAAAGTTCATCCAATCAATAATTTGATTAATGTTTGATTAATTAGCTTAACAAAACTCAAGAGATAAAGGGTAAGTAAAGAACAAATTGATCAACTTATAAATATTGTTCTACACTGACTTCCAAGAAACAATACATCTATGTATGTATCTATTTTTTGTCCATCTTTCCTTATACATGTTGACCAATTCCTTCAAAATAAAATGAAAGTGTTAAGAGTTGTTGAACTCTAGTTTACGTTTGGGTACCCATGTTTTAGACAAGCAACGGAAAGATTTACCAAGTTGTGTTAGCATAGTTCAATTTACAATAAATCAACATCCACAAACAAGAAATGTAAAGCACACCAGTATATACATGGTTCGGCTAAATCCACTTTTAGCCTACATCCATGGGATCTCGTCCAGATCGAAGCAAATCCACTATCAACAAACATTACAAGATATAGTTCAAAGATGATTTTAGCTACAACAAAGAGAACTCCCTTGTTCTAGTTACACTAAACACCACTCTTTGAATCTCTAATGTCTTGTTGTTTTAAGGATCTTTTCACACTAGGTTCACTCTTGGAAACACGCTTGAGTAACCAAAGATACGCTCTAGCATTAGCTATGCAAACAAGCTCCAGCCGCCATTCAACTATGATGATAGATGATAATGGTTTGGCACAAAAAGATAGGTTGAACCTTAAGGAATAAACCCTTCGAAAATTTCAGAGAACAAAACCAAATATCATAAAAAGGTTCACCCAACAATATCGCAAGAATGGAGATGATAAAGGCCAATTTCGTGCGCTCCAATTCTGTCCAGGTCAACAGACAAGGCTGACAAGTGCTGGTCCAAAAATAGCAATGTTTTTACCTTTAGTTTAGGACCACAACAAAAAAGAAATGAAGCTGATTTTTCCTTGCACCTTTTGAAGGATATTAGGACACCTGTAAGTGGTTCAAAAGACAACACAAATGATGGAGAGAAATTATCTTAGCAATAAAATAAAAATCGCAACATGTGCCAAAGGACAGTCCAACATGCGATGTTGGCACGGTATGAGATTGTGGACACACTCGAAGAAAGACTGCGATCAGCAATCGCAATTAGCAGTCGCGGTCAGGGTTCAGTGCGCGAGCACCATATTGTTCACTCCACTTACAAATGCAAAAACAAATGACGATATCTACAAAGGTTACAAAATGAAAAGACAATATTGTTCTTAATGAAGAAATTGACAAATTTAAGTTACAATACAACAGACTCAACATTTCCACAACTTTTCTGCAAACATTGTAGTACACTGTACTCAGACATCAGGAAGAACTCCAGGAACTGGTAGCTAATAACGAAGCCAGTTGTTGAAACGTTTAAAAATGCAACTGCGAGTTGTAGGCCAGCATCTCAGAATCATCAAAACTCATCCCTCATGCATCGTCTTTGTAGTGTGTACCACTATTGGTCTAAAATCATCTCAATTGTGCCGTATCAAGCAGAGTGTATCATTAATTGCAGAAAACTACAAAACATGCCTTTGAATTTTCAGAGCCCTTGAAGGGAGTTTTACCCAATAATAGCTCATGCAGAAAGATCCTAAAAGTCCACCAATTAACAACGTTGCCCTGCCCTTCACCTTTGATGGTTTCAGGCGCCAGGTACTCGTGAGTTCCCACAAACGACATGGAGCTAGGCAGCTAGCGTTGGTTGGCTCAGCAATTGGTTATGGCAGTGAGGTAACTTGGTTCCCGGTTTCATTCTTTGGTTTCTGAACTTTCTTGGAATTTGAAAAGAATCGAGGAGAAAAACAAGTTGTAGGGGCAATAAATGATGGTTGGATACACGAGGGCTCGATGCAAGCATGTCGAATGCAATAAACCGGATTCTTTGTCAGGGTTTCAAACCCGAGTGTTGACAATTTCATTACTGTTGGGCTGACAGCACAACGAAGGGAATGATCAAAGTCAGAGAGCATTATATGTCCGTCTTCCCTTACAAGAACATTTCTGGCCTAAGGTTCCAGTTAACAATCCCAAGCATATGGAGGTATTACAGAGCAAGGAGAACTTCTGCTACACAGAACCTGCATAGAGAAAGTCACATAAAAACACGATTTATTTTCAAGGAAAGATAGCATACTTCTGATTGTCTAAGTGATATAGATTAAGGATGTACATCGGCAAGATATTCAGATTGCAATATGCAACAACTAATAATTAGGTTCTCTCTACTAATATCCCCACTTTCTTGCAAAATATTCACTAAACTCAGGCACCAAAACCCTCCCAAATTGGAGTTACCAATTCATGTTATAGAATTTGGATTCAGGTTTAAAAGAGTTAAGGTATAGGCAATGTCGCAGGCCACGCCATTAAACAGTTTTCCTATTCTATTTCTCCAATGACCATATATTGAGGAGATGAGAAGCCCCTAAAATTGCCAACAACATGCCCTAAAACTAACACAGATGTCAATAACTAGTATAGACATTGCAACTTTGAGACTTTATACAGTATAAGGAAACTTCAGTATCTATGGATATTATGCATATAAAAAGTTACAAAATATCAAGAGTTTGAGTTATTCCACAAATTCCTTTTGATTACCTTACAAGCACAACAGTTCAAACTTTCAAAGAATCAAATTTGGTGAAGAAGCAGTTAATTACAGCAAGCCCTCAAGCTTCAAATTCTGACAGGAAGCTGTACTCTAGTCCCTCTGAAAATAAATTAAATGAATAAAAAAGAACAGTTCAAAGAAACCAAAGAGAAATGAATAAAAGAACTGATTTTAAAATATTACGAGTGCAAACATATTCCATGCTGTGACAGATTTCTAATGATCCATATATCGAGAACGGAATAGCATTATAACCTATTAAAATTAAGTTACTTGCAAGATGAATGAAGAGATTGAAGATTTCATCTTAACTTGTATTGTTGTATCCGCAATGTGGTGAGCTGAAAAATGGTATAAGAAAAGTTAGTACAATAAGTTGAGACTTATTAGATAGTGGATAGCAATGGTTTTGTATTAGATGGTTATCAAAAAAAGGATCCAAAATTCTTTTTAATTATCTTAACATGTGATATGATAAAACTTACCATTGCCGTTGCAATGTTGACATAATGTTTTTGAAGTTGATTTCTTCCTACAATCCTTTCATAAATAATACCCAGTTACATAAACTATCTAGATCATTCTGATAGTAACTAATTGTACCATTAAGGTGCAAGAATTTGTCAGACCTGAAAAGAGTATAAGGGCATGCCCTAAATTATGAATTGAATCTCCACTCTTCCTCGTGCGGATTGCTGTTTCTTTTTTCTTTTTTTCTGTAAAGGACAATCATTTACTACATAGTGTTATGAATTAGCTGCTGATTTTTTTGATACTGAATTACAAAATGTGGATGTAGGCCTAGCAAATGATAACCTTTGAAAGGCTTCAACAGAATCTTCACTGATATTCCCATAACACTCCAGCAATCTAAACTACAACATTTGAACACCAACACCTCCAAAGCTCTGTAATCTACATAGTGTATCATTCATTGCCTTCTACCTCCAAATTAAGCTCTATGAATTACTAGGTAGAAGAAAAACTACCTGCACACCAAACACAAACCTTGATATCAACTCAGTGCTTAAAGAGCCTAGGGTACTAAAAGAAATGAACGAAAAGAAAATACTTAACTAATTCTGTCATTAATTTTAATTAGTCAGAAGTGTGAATTAAAATTATCTTAAGAAACCATATGTTAAATCTTACCACTGCCATTGCAATGTTGGCATTTTGCATCCAGGAGTCAGACTCTTCAGTTTCTCCCTGCATGAAGTGACAAAATTATTAATTCACACTCTGTTTTTGTAAAACTCTAAATTCTCTCAATAATAACTAATGTTCTATGAGCTTAAAATTTACTTACCTAAATTGATTACAATGATGGAATGAATCATATCGGATTCAGCTCATTTCCTCTTCCAGAGTGTAGATGAATTTTCCATCTACCTTAACGCAAGGGATGTGAACTATCTTGGACCATTCTTGTCCTTCATTCCTTTTGCACTGTTTTTCTATTAAAGGACATTTATAAATATGTAGCGACAAAAGTGAGGGTGGAAGGTCTGGCAAGGATGTGAGATTTGGGCATTCGCTGAAAGTCAAAAATTGAAGAGATGTAAGAACTTGGAAAGTTTTGGAAGATAGATATTTCAATTCTAGGAAGCAAAGAACGCTCAGACGATTTAGAGAGATGGGAAACTTTATTTCTAAGATCTTCTTCTCTGGAAAAGATATTGCATCAGGTAATCCCCAAATTCTAAGACTTCTAAGAGAGGTAAGTTTGTGCCAACCACACTCACTCAGTGGCCTGTAGATACTGAGAGGAAGCGTAAGTGATTGTAGGTTGGAGGGAAAATCTTCTGCTGTAAAGGATTCGATATTAGGACATAGGTATAAGGCTAGGTGGCGAATAGATTTGAGGGCGTGCATGCGGCTAGGTAGGGCTTGTAGTTTCTCACACCCAAAGATATGTACTTCTAAATCAGTGTCAGGAAACCCATATTTTGGGAACGAAACAAGACTTGGGCACTCATGGATACTCATACGACGTAGTTTGCAAAGTGTGTGTAAGCCCTCCGGAATGGATTTAAGGTTTTCACATCGCTGGATAGAAAGAATCTCAATAGGCATGTTACAGTCAAAACTCCCTGCTGCTAGTGACTCTAGCTTTGGGCACTTGTTAATAAAAAGGGACACAAGTCCCTTAGATAACTGTCCCAAGGTTCCGAGACTTGAACAGCATGAGATAGAAAGCTCCGCAAGTGTTGAAGGTAACTGGTCTGTCGACGATAAATGCGTTAGAGAATGGCATTCCTGTATGTTTAATTTGTAGAGTAGAGATGTGGTGGTGGTGGTGGTGTCCACGTCATCCCTGTGTACCAATGTATAAGAAGAAGATGGAGAAGAAGTACAAACATCTTCTCTGCCCTCCCAAATGCACACCAAATTTTCACATCTACCTACAGAAAGATGTTTCAGAGATGAAGGTAGACAACCTCTCACAATGAATGTTAGAGAAGGACATCCATAAACACCTAAGTACTTGAGACGTGCTTTGCTGTGCTTCAACCCCTCGTGCAAGGAAGTTAGGGCGTCACATTGGCTGATAATAACTCTGCTTAAGATTGAAAGTAACCCATCTGGAAACGAAACAAGATTCGGGAGCTCTTTTAAATGCAGCTCTTGAAGGGAGGTGAAGCATCTCAACTTTTGTGGTGCATTCTCTGAACAAATCTTATTTGGCCATAAATGCATGAGCTCTTGACAGCCAACAATTGATAGACGTTCTAGTTTCTGAAATCCCTTCCTTGACCAACTTCTAAACACTGGAAAGTTTGATTCTCTAGCTGTACTCATGGAGTTTCGTGCCTTTGAATTAACTGGGCTGCAACAAACCACGCCTTTGCATCTATTTATTTCTAATGATCTGAGCATTGGAAGGCTTGAAAATGAAACCACTAACTGCTCACACCCATTAATCACAAGATTATCCAATAATGGGAGATGATTAGGTAATCTTTCAGAGAGTTTAGGACATTGAGAAATTGAAAGCCTTTGGAGACAAGGGAATCTCTGGACATGGCCATTTTCTACAGGGTCCCAATGCTCCCACTCTTGCAAATTCTCAAAAAAAAGAGTCCGCAACGATTGAAAAGACTTTGAGCAACCCTCTCCATAAATCTCACCACCTATCTTTTTTATTTTTCCCATCAATCTAATTGTGAGGTTCTGAAGTGAGCCCAGCAATGCTAGGGAAGGCAAGGTTGTGCAGTTTTCACATCCATCCAATTTCATAACCACCATGTTGGAGAACGATGGATCTCCTATCCAAGATGAAAGTTTTTGGCCGCCATAATTTTTTATTGTGAGCTCTTTAAGATTTTTTTGAGGTTGTAAAATATCAAGAACAATTTTCACTGCTTCATCTTGCGAGGGATTAGAAGAACTCCATTCTAGTACCAACACTTCTAAGTCCTTATCGCACAATATCATCTCTGTTGTGTCTTGACAATCCACTGCATTCTCTAAACTTGAAATGCAGAGCTCTCCGCAAAGAAACTTTAAGCTTCTCAAATCCTTCAAGCTGGATCCAATACCTTTACCAACAATAAAATTTGACAGTGTCTTCAAACATTTTAATTTTTTCACTCCCAATGGCATCTCTCTAATTAATATTGACCCTCTAACATCTAGATGGCGTAGATTGATCAAATTTCCCATGTCTAAAGGCAACTTCTCAAGACAAAAACAATTTCTCAGCATCAAACTTTGTAAATTGAACAGTGAACATGTTGACTCAGGTAAACATTTTATCTGAGTTTCAGAAAGGTTAATATACCTTAGATGTCTTAGATCTCCAATTGAGTTGGGTAGTTCCATCACATGGTACTTTGTTAAAGATAGTGCTCTCAGTTTTTTTAGCTTTGGCAATAAATCCAAAAATACCGTCTTAGTAACGTAAGTTTTATCGTTGAACCTCAATGGCAAGAATATTCTCAGCAACGTCCTCAGGGACTCAACTTTGTAGAGAACTTCAAAATTGTTTTTCACTTCATAATATCTAAATGTGTAAGAAGAATGTCGAATTCTATCAAATCTTTTCAGTTGCATGAGATTGAATTCATCCTCCAATCTAAAAGTTGTTCCTCCAGATATCCACTGAGCCAAATCATTGACAAGGTCATGCATGATATATCTAGCACCACTAGTATTTGAATGTTGAAATATTGACCACGACAATAAATCACAAAAGTACTCATGACCTAAGTCTTCCAGTTGCTTGTTTTCAGAGTGTTGAATAAGACCTTCTGCCATCCATAATAGAATAAGTTCCTTATCCATAAATTCATAATCCTTAGGGAAAATAGCACAATAAGCAAAACATCTTTTTAAATGCGAAGGAAGATGATAATAGCTTAGTCTCAAAACAGAGAGAATGCCATTTTCCTCAGGTAAATCCCATAATTTACTGTTCAATATATCTTCCCATTCACCATATCTTTGCTTAGATCGTAAAAGACCCCCAAGAATCCTGGCTGCTAAGGGTAACCCTCTGCACTTCTCAACAACTTTATCACGAACTAAATTCAAATTTTGGCCTGAAACAATAACTCTACTCCCAGATACATGCTTCTGGAATATGCCCCAACAATCATCATTTGAAAGAAGTTTCAACTGAAAATATTCGCTTTGTCCCATTGTTAAAGCTACATCTATACTGCGTGTGGTCACAATTATCCTACTTCCTGGTGCCCCGGCCATGAAGGGAGACCTAAGAGTTTCCCACAAGCCATAATCTCTGCTCCAAACATCATCTAATACAAGAAAGAATTTTTTTCCAGCTACTTCGTTTTTCAAGTGAACCTGAACTTCATTTAAGTTCTCTAGACTACAAGATGATGAAGTGATTGACTCAAGAATTGCCTTGGAGATACGCAGAACATCAAAATCATCCGAAACACACGCCCATGCTCTTGGATTGAAATCTGCCACTGCCTTGTCGTTGTATACCTCCCGAGCAAGTGTTGTTTTGCCAACTCCTCCTAGCCCAACAATGGGTATTACATGAAATCTGCCACCAGTCGGTTTATCGCTTAACACCATTTCAAGTATCTTGGCTTTATCAGCATCTCTTCCGATAACTGCTGGTTCAGTTGGCACACATGTACTAGGTGGTCTTTGCCATGCAACAGTAGATGAGCCTCCAGCAATCTCTTTCAGACCAAGATAATTCTTTTCTTCACAGAGATCTTGTTAGTGTTTGTGTGCTGGAGATAACTAAGAAAAGAAAGAGAGCAAAAAACGATTGAAGAAAAGTGCCTGTGTTTTCTTGAGTTCAAAAGAGTTTACACTTCAACTAATAAAGCAGATTTTTTACACTATTACACCAAACATGCAGACATATAAAAACTTAATTTAATCTGAAGCTACTGACTTAATACCAACTAAACAACAACTCTGTAACACATCCCACATAATCTGGGATACATATCAAGCATTACAAAAAGAGTAAAACTTTGCAGTATTACAAATGGACCCCTGGCAGATTGCCTTTCAGTTTTACCGCCAAAAACATGTTTGAACATCAGTTGAACTGCTGCATTTCCAGCCAAGTATCAACCTTCAACANACAAAATTACTACAGATATTATGCTATTGATTTATTTGCTGTAATATTATGTAATCATTTTATATTGATTGGATTGATTTATTTCCTTTATTATTTACATAGCCTCTGTATAAATAGGCATCTGTACACATTACAAAGATATATGAAATACACATATTCTTCTATATTTCTTTCTTCCTCACGGCATTCTTCAGCAACATAGTTGCTTCTATTGCCATCCTTTACTCTTCTTGGCATTCTTCGGCAATACAATTGCCTCTTTTGCCACCTCCTGTTCAGATTATTACATGGTATCAGAGCAATCTACAATATCTCGCTTCCGCCAACACAATCCTTTTTTTTTAGCTAGTTTTTCATAAACCTGCAAAACCAAAGTATTAAGATCAGTTTCGTTTTTGTTGTCCAAACCAAAAATTAAACCAACAAACACCATATACAGCCAACAAATTCATCATGGATCTAACCAAAACTCCACCAGTATCAGCACCAGAACAAACAGCCACAAATGAGCCACTACATCAAGCCCAACCCGATCCAAGTTCTAGATCAACCACAAACACAGGCCCAATGTCATTCGGGTTCATGGGTCAGATTCCCAACCCGATGGGTCAAAATCCCTACCCAATGTTTCAGTTTATTCCAGCTGCCCCCAATCGGCCAGAACCTGGGGATCCACTTTACTCGCCGGTTTCTGATGGCTACGAGCTTGTGCTCGTTAAACAACCCCTAGCCGGATCAACCAATTAGGCAACTTGGGCTAGAGATTTCCGACGAGCCTTGATAACCAAAGACAAGGAAGGGTTCATCGATGGAACCCTTCCAAGACCAGATGAACCACACCTCATCAAGCACTGGAACCAGTGCAATACACTTGTTCGAGCATGGATTAGCAACTCCCTGACCCAAGAGATTGCTGCCGGACTACCTCAGACAGAAATCGCCCAAGAAATGTGGGCAAACATTCGCGAGATGTACAGGCAATTAGATCTCGCGAAACTGTTCAGTTTACGCCAGACTATTGTTGAAATTAAATAGCAAAATCTCTCTGTAACTTCCTATTTTAATTGCCTTTCGACGATTTGGAATGAACTCGATGCGGTTGAAGAACCATTTGAAGGGCCCCCAATGATTCTCCAACAGATCCAGTGTGTGAAGGACCAAAAGATCCACTTCCTCATGGGCTTGAACAAAAGCTTTCTTCCCTTTCGCACCCAAATGTTGGCCACCTCACCAACGCCATCACTCCGACGCACTTACCAGCTTGCTGTCCAAGAGGAAAGCCAGCAGTTGAACTCGCATGACACTCATCGTTTTGGATCCACCGCCTTCAACATATCTCAACAACGACGGCAACAAAATGGTGACTCTGATCTGTTGGGTGTAGACGAAAATGGTAAAGGAGAAACTTTTGAGCAGCTAAAGTTGAATGGAGAAAAGTCTATTCTATATGGGGCTGTCAATGGCTCAGATGCACTCACCCAATCCAATGGCCAAAAGACTTTATCTTTTTTTAATGGCAATAATGGGCAAAGTACTTCTCATGGCCCACATGTTTCCCATAACCCAAATATTCCACATGGTCCAAATTTTCAAAATAGGCCCAATCATGCTGGATCCTCTAAAAAAGGGAGATATTGTGATTATTGTAAACGAAAAAACCATAATCGAGACGCCTGTTGGAAATTACATGGACGCCCACCTAATCAGAGATTTGGGCCCGCTACAGCAAATCAAATAATCATAATGTCACTTCTGGAAATGGGATTGTAGCTCCGGTGATCAGTCCACATGCTGTACCGAATTTTACATGTGACAGAATACACATGTCAAGGAGGTGTCGTCCCAATTCATGGTTTCCAATTTTAGGGATTTTGGTCTATCTTTTCTGGAAAGATTTGCATGGTAGGATCAAGTTTTAGTCACTATTAGAAGTCATTTACCTAAACTATATGATATAAAGTATTGAAGTACCATTACTAGTTTGATTAGGGAACTTTGGAGAGCTTGAGTCCGACTAATGATTCAAATTATTTGAACCACTTTCCTAATCATATTTCCTCTAATAAATTACAAGTATACTCAGGTTATAGAAGATTTCGATAATGGATCTTCTGATGAGATAAGTATTCTGATTAATGCATTCCTAAGTTTACAACCGTGTAATAGCATTTGCTCTATACTTGATATTCATTCAAAGCATATGATTGAGATATGTCAATGACTGCAATTCTTCAAAGAGTCATAGGTTATTTGGTGAGAGCATTCCATATTTGCCTCGGCGATGTCTTTGACCATAATTCAATATTCATGGACAGACAAAGCTTGAGATTTCTGAAAGAATTTTCTGATACTAACTATACCACGGATTACCAGTCCTTTGATCCCATACAACATTTGTGTCAAAGGGTCATGGACGTGAAGAATAATCAGCTTATTGCTATTGCCTGCCGAATCTTGAGCACAACTAATCTTTAGATAATTCTTATGTTCGGGATTGTTAAATAAGTTTAGCTTGAGATTTCCCGTAGTATGATCAATCAAAAATATTAGCAGTGTTATTGGGCAGCTTCGGAGTAAGAAACCCGAAAATGATTCAGGCTACTTTGATAGGATTGCATTTCAAAGCACTGAGACTCAGTTTCTGAGAATTCCAGGTTTGAAGTATATGTATACTGAAATGGCGAAAGTAAGAAAGTTGTCCCCAAGAAGAAGGATAAAGTTAGAAAAGAAAAGGGCGGTATCCAATGGCTCTCTTAAAGAAATGTTGTTCCATGCATCAGTCAAAATTTCACCAGGAAAAATTGTAGAGTGCTGTTCAAGTCCTCTCTTTCTTGGTGATCAGATGATTTCTCCATGGTTTCAACTTCCATTCCATCATCAAGCTCAAAAACAGAAAAATCTTCTCTCAGAATATCAGCTACAAATTGACTTCACATTACAGTCTGCTGTAAAATTCAATGGTACAATGTCACTATTTAAGTTTTCTTCAGCCTCGCAAATGAGAGTAGATATTGCTGATGAAGGTGTTTATGATACTGAAACAGCTGTAGAGATATCGGCGCAAGCGATCAGATTGCAAGAAATGATTATATGGACTGTGAGATCCTTGTGAATCTTCAATTTCTTCCACTCGAAGCAAAAAAAAAAAAAAATGCAGTTTACATAACTGGACCCATTCAAGTACACGGGAAAATCCGACCCTCTTACTTTGAACCCCTGCACTTGTCCTCTGCTGCACTTTATGCAGGAAGCTCAATATGGAAAATGGATTTGAACATCGTCATGGTCCTGATCTCCAACACTCTTGCAAGAAGCCCCTTTGCGCTTCCTTTAATTTCAGTAATCATGCTTAGGGCTCGGTTCCACTTGTTCATGAAAATTCTCCACCACCAAAATGTCTTTGCTCATGAAGGTGGATGGCTAAAGTGAATGAGGTGATCGCCCTCACCAAATCCGCCCAACAAGTTCTAGAACTCAAAAGGAATACTCTAGTTTTCTCTCTTTATTTGACATTATAATATCTTTCACCTGTTCCATAATGCATATGATCTTACGGGGCTAATAATTATCCGAACCACTTTGATGGATCATACATATATGCAAATCCTGGTGGAGATTTAAAAGTTGCTCAGGAATTCCAATTCTTTGTTCAGCTAAAATCTAAAGAGGGGAGAAAAAACAGAACAACAGAACCACATTTATAGGAACAAGTCCAGGTTCCAATGCAAGACCAAAATAAGTCTAGGATTCCATTGTAGGACCCAAAGTATCTATTTCTTAACATTCCCAAATGATATAGAATGTCATACAAATTTTTTTTTTTTCAATAGTATTTTATTTATTTGTCAAGATAAATGGAAGTATTTAACTATGACATTCATTGAAATGACATCAATCTATTCCTGAAAGACACAGAGTCAGGCCACTTGATGAATTATTTAACAATATCATAGACGGCAGATTCTTGCCGATGTCTGTAGAACCATCTACAGACTTCTGATGCAGCCAAATGGCCAACCCCACCGCCAGAGGTTACTCAAAAACGGCAGGTCGTTTTCCCAACTTCTCCGTAGCCGACTTGTCCGCCAGTCGAGCGTCGATATTGCATTAAAGAACAGCACTTTTCAGTCTTTAATCAATCCAGAACAAATATTCAGCAAAACCCATTTTGGGAGATGGTTTAATTTCGTTGATTTCGTAATGGGGAAGATCGGGCCTTGTGCACAGAGCAGATAAATGCCGACTGTGACGGCGCGTGGTGAGTGATAAAAAATTTGAGGAATTAAGTATTCGGGACTTGGACTTAAAGTGTGAAACCCCGTTTTTGATCCTAATACATATTACATATTCTGTGTGATTTTTTTTTATGGAAGGGGATTTCTGTTAGTTTTTAAAAGTTTTATTGGGAATGAATTGGAAGATAAGGAAGCTGTTGGGTTTGCATGTAACAAGGGGCAAAATCTGGAGGTTTATTTGAAAGAAATGCTGATGTGGTAGGGTTTAGCGGGATTACCTGTAATCTAGGCAGAAGCATAAATTTAGAAAGACTAAAATATAAATATGAAGAAGAAGAAAGATGAGAGAAGAAACCCGAGAGAAAGAAAAGAAAAAGGAGAAGAGAAGAAAAGTGGGTTGGCCGAGAGGTTGAGCGACAGAGCAATGAGGATGAAACGAATAGAATTGGGAGAGAAAGAAAAATAGCAGATCGGCCATAACCCAGTTTCTAATAGTCCATGCATGTAGATTGGAGGTAGAGATCAAATTTCTTCTTCAATCCAAGAGATATTAACCCATTATTGTTCTGATGCTAGGAACGAAGGGAGAGAATGGAGGAGAGTGCTTGAGCCTTCATTTTTAGTTCGGTTGAGCTGAATGGTGGTGGACCAGCCAAAAACTCTTTTAAAAACTCAATTCCTGTTTGCATGTAATGTTGATTTCTATTATAGTGTTTGATCCAAATTTTGGTGTGATATCTTGTTAAATCTGTCTTGCATGTGTCGGCTGGCTGACTTTAAAGTGCTGCATGTCCGTTTCGATTCAGCACCATGTCTTGATGAAATCTGGAAATTTTTGAAGTGGAAAATGCATTGAATCCTTTCTAAAGTTTGCATTTTCAAGTGCATGGACTTGATGTTTATTGTTTCACGCATTTAAAAGTTATGTGTAAGTTGATTATTTGGAATATTGTTTGTACCATAGAGATGATTTGTGGACGTTGTTGATTTGAAGAGTATGGAGAAAGGTTATAAATGGGCAAATTAGAATGCTGAACTTGGCATGCATGTGTGCATTTTATGCATATACATATGTTTGCGAATAGAAAAGAAATTATGGGAAGTTGTATGTTGTAATGGTGGCTGACTATTGTGGTTAAAACTGAAATTGGAGATTTAATGCAACAATTTTATACGGGTAGCATAATGTGATCCTAAA